GGGGGTGTGACTCACTTGTACAACATACGCTTAGCATGCATGAAATCCTGGGTTCAATCCCCAGGACCAAAACAATAAAATAAATACAAAAAAAAAAAAAAAATCCCCTCCCCTTAAAAAAAAGAAAGAACGAAAAGAAAATGCTATTGCCGAGAAATGCAAGCCCGCCGTGCAAACTCTTCACAATTAGGAAAATTGCCTGCGCAGTGCTGCGGACCGTGCATTCATCTGGAAACCAGATGCGGAGTATCAATGCAGTGGCTTCAGGGACAGTTCTTCACTCACAGAGTTATTTGTCTCCATCCTGGAGATTCTAGAAAGCTGGTGAATGCAGCATAACTGTGAAGTAAGCATCAGCGAGAATTTCCACCATCACTAGCTTCCTGGTGATGGTCCCGGTGGTCCCGGATGGAAAGGGAGCTCATCAGCTGCACATGTATTTGGAAGCACCTTCTCCTAATCACTGTCACAGCGGCTCAGCTGCTGGTCATCTGTACACTGCCCATGCACCAGGCACTGAACTAGACCCTGAGGATGTGACCAAAAGAACCATCAGTGCCCGCCCTCAGGAATCCCCCTGGTCTCATGAAAACAGAAGTAAATCAGAAGCCAGAGTCAGGCCCCCTTTCTGTGGGTGACACATGGCCCAGGGGACCATGGGATGGATGCCTGAAACCTGCTTAGCACTGATTCCTACATGCACTACTTTTTCACACACGTACACACACACACCTCAGTTGTGATAAAAGAAGTTGTAACACATGATAGAGTTTAATTTGTAAATTAGGTACGGTAAAAGAGGAACTTCAGTAATAAGAATGATTGTAACATATATCATACTATAGGTTAGGGGAATACGGTCTCTCCTATTTCTAGAATTTTATGTTTAGTACTTTTGAACTTTGGTTGACCAGAGATAGCAGAAACCACAGAAAGCTAAACCTCAGATAAGAGGGAACTACCGATTTCTGACAGAGGAGAGTATTTGCTGTCAGACTGGAAGAAGGGAAGACTGTTAATGCTGCAATACAGCAGGGAACACAGGCTGGCTGTGGTGGCGCATGCCCATAATCTCAGCACTGGGGAGGTTGAGGCAGGAGAATCACCAATGAGTTCAAGGCCAGCCTGGGCTACATAGCGAGTACTAGGAAGACCACAAACTGGTGCAAATTGGCAGAGGCTTTTTATATGGATATTAAAGTGCATCAAAATTTAAAATATGGGGTCTGGGGATTTAGCTCAGCGGCAAAAGCGCCTGCCTGGCAAGCGCAAGGTTGTGAGTTCGGTTCCCGGTACCGGAGAAAAATAAAAACAAAAACAAAATTTAAAATATATCCACTTTTTCCTTCAACTCCCCTTTTAGAAATTTTTTCCAAGTTACAGGGGTAACTTGACTCCCAAATTTAATTCTTTCCATGATTCTGGTGGCAGCTGAGGTGCCACTGTACACACAGATGGCTTACCATAAGAAAAGGGTAAGTATACAAGGTATGCATGTGCTACTTAGCTCTATTCAGCCACTCCACAGTGCATATGTATTTCAAAGTACCATGTTGTACAGGGTAAGTATATACAATTCTTATTTGTCAACTAAAAACTTTTTTGAACGTGGAAAATAAACCAGATGAGTACAAAAATGTGGGTACAAACATTATTTCTAACAGAAAATAAATGGAAACAGCCTAAATGTTCACCAACAGGTGAGCGGTTAAAGAAATGATGGTCCATGCTAGGTGTGGTGGCACATGCCTGCAATCCCAGCACTTTGGGAGGCTGAGGCAGGAGGACTGCAAGTTCAAGTCCAGCATGGGCAACTTTAGTGATTTAACAAGGCCCTGTCTCAAAGTAAATAAATAAATAAAAAGGCCTGGGGATGTAGTTCAGTGTGAAGGCCCTGGGTTTGATCCCCAGTATGTGTAGATAGATAGCTAGATAGACAGACAGATAGATAGGGGCAGGCCCACAGGCACCCACATGGAAAGACCTACATGTCATGGCACCTATATGTGAATGCACACGTATGCGTGCTTAGCGGAGTACACAGGGCCTGGGAGGGAGTGAAGAAAGGTTGATGCTCGTTCCCCTGTGCAGGGGAGTGACAGTTACGTTCTGCATGCCCCGTCACTGTGGTTGGAATGTTTTAAAACAGACGTGCATTCACACAGTATTCAGAGGCTGACATTAACCTGCACATGTATTCTTCTGACTGGAGAGAAAATCACAAATATATGCGAGCATCTATTTATCCGCCACGACACTCCCAATGTTAACATCTTGCACCACCCAAATACACCATCAAAAGCAGGAAGATGACAGTGGTACCATTGCCCGAACTTGCTCGGATTTCACAGTTCTGTACGTACTCGCTTATGTGTTTGTGTAGCTGCGTACGTTTATCCCACGGAGCTTTGTGCAACCACCACTACAAAAGAGGTTATTTTTTAAAGTCATCCTCTTAGGCTGTAAATTCCTATTTCATGTCTTCTTTGCCTAAATAGGAAAAAAAAGTCTTCAAATCCAAAAAATGAAAATGTAAATCATGAAGAACTTGAAATTCAAAACAGGTGGCAGTTGTAAGGGCACAGCTGGCCATTTAGAAATACATCAGGACTCCAAGCTGAGACAAATTATAGCATTGGGCACTAAAAGAATTTGTAGATCTCATTGCAAAAGCACTTTCCTATTTCTGAGCAAACATGCAGAAAAGGAAAAGTTCTAGAGAGACAAAAATGGATGGATTTGTCTGTTTTATATTTTTAGCACTGTAGGTGGAATATAAGTAAGTACCCCAGTGCTAAGCTACATCCCCAGCCTTTTATATTTTTGAGACTGGTCTTGCTATGTAGACTGGGTTGGGCTTGAACGTGGATATCCTCCTGCCTCAGCCTCCCCAGTAGCTAGGATCACAGGCAGGTGCCTCGGTGCTTAGCAACACTCTAATATCTTGGTGAACGTAGTGGTTACACGGGTTTCTACAGTCCTCTCAGGAACTCCAGTGGTGCAATCGGTTAGAGCCCTAAGTTGTACTCTTATGTCCTGTGTTTGATTGTACATGAGTTTTACCTCAATGACAAATGTCTTGAGCGAACTCCAGAGCAACCATCTTCTATAGAGGGTGGACAGTATTATTTTAAATTAATGTTCAACACAGAAGTTCAACTCCTTGGAGAAACTCAAAGAAGACCCAAATGGAGATAAAGAAAGCCAGAGGCTACATGTGTGACTCTGAGATGAGCCCTGGGGGCTGATGTTCACCTGCTGACGCAGCCACAATGAGAGTTTGCACTGAGCACCTCCTTGAGCGGTCCTGGAGTGCAGAGGGAGGGACCGGGTGGGACAAAGTTCTCGTCCTCCCTGAGCACGCGCTCTCTAAGGAGACAGTCGAGGAGAACAGCAGGGTGACCAGAGAGCATGCCAAGTGCACAGGGCAGCATAGGAGTGTGCCCTTAGGAACCAACAGAGGCGTGGGGAAGACGTGAAATGCTAGGGGTAAACAGGGAGGATGTCTCTCTAGGAGTGACGCTTGAGCTGTGTCATGGGGTGAAGGTCAGAACACTAGAGGCAGGCAGAAGAGACAGTGCAAAGGTCCTGAGGCAGGGATATGATAAGTCTGAAGAAATGCTAGAAAATCAGCATGACTGGTGCTTATTGAGCATGGAGGAGTGGCTGGGGTTGGGCTGCAGAGCTGGGCATGGAGGGCCCACGGCCAGGGCAGGGAGGACGCTGGGTGACCGACTAAGACAATGGGAAGCCATTGAAGGGTTTTCAGCAGCTGGCTGATGTGATCCGCGCTGAGCGGGGTGGACGGGAGTGGGGACCTGGACGGGAGCAGAGAGGCCAGCTGGGAAGTTACTGCTGCGCTGCTGTTGGAAGAGCTGGGGGAGACATGACCACAGCGTCCCCACCAGAGATGGAGAGAGACAGCGTTTAGCTGGATTCTAGAAGCAGAACTCACAGAACTGCTGATGCGGTCGAGATGGAAAATGAGGAAAGGGAAAGATGGGTAGACAGCGATGTCCCTTACTAAGAAGGGGAATTCTGGGGCAGAACAAGGCGGGTGGGGAATTCGAGAGCTGTGTTGTAAGGTGCCCATGTACTCTGCACGTGGAATAGCCAAGGAGGCGGCTAGACGGAGCCTGGGGCTCAGGAGGGGCGGTGGGGGTGGGGATGCAAAGTTCAGGGTCCCCATCGCACCGACGGTACAGGAACCCAGGCTGGGAGAAGAGAAGCAGGGCCTGGGCTGCCAAGGCACCCGGCATCGGAACCCCACCCTGGCCAGGGAGGTGCAATGAAGAGGGAGGACAGCCAGGGCAGTCTCCGCAGGCCCACCGCTGTGTTCTCGGGCCCAGGCCAGCTCGGGCCGCAGCAGACCCTCCTCTCCTGAGTGCCTGAAGGACGGAGGGAGCGAGCGTGGCCATCTTGCCAACTGGATGTTGCTGGAAGAGGCCAGAAAAGAGCGCCAAGGAGCCCACCGGCTTCAGCGACAGCAGAAACACTGCTCAGCGGCAGTGCTGTTGACAAGAGCTTTGTCATGATTGTGGGAACAAAGCCAGGGCACTTGCATTTGGAGAGAAATCAAGAGGACCGTGGAATTCGGCTCAGCCCCAGCCCCAGCCCCACAGTGACTCACACACTTCCTGCCCAAGCCACTCTCTTACGGTCCCACCCAACCAAGACGGTCACCTTCGTGGCCCTCTAAGAGCGAGGCCTGCCAGGATGGAAGGGACAAGTGCTGCCGCAGCAGTCGTGAGCAGGGCTTCCTGGGCTCGGGGACTGGGGCACATGGCCAACCTACCCCTCCGCCCCGGCCTGGGAAGCCTCACACCGTGATCCCTAACTGCCGCCCTCCTGCTTGGCCCCCTAAGCCCAGCTGTCCGGCTGCCCAGCTGCTGCTTTATCCTCTCCACTGCCCACTGCTGATGTGGTCACAAAACTTCTCATCCATCTACTGTCCGAGAGAAAGAAATCAGTGAATAAACAAGCTCAATGCCTGGACTTACCACGAACAGTTAGAACGGAGGGAGATTTTTCGGGCTGTTCATTAATGCGGCTGCTATTTCGAACCCAGAAAATGTTGACGGGCTCAGGGGGGCCCACAGCCTGGCAGGTGAGGTTGAAGGCTGTGTTTCTGGTGACATTGAGGCTCTCGGGCTGCTTAGTGAAGTAGGGAAGTCCTGCGGGAAGAGAGGCAAAGGAAGGCAGGTCAGACCCTAACCCAGAGGCAGAGCCCTCAGGGGAGTGGAAAACGATTAGCAAGTGGTTGGCAGATTTCTTTACACACCAATCCAGGTCGGAATTGGCCAGTTTCACGCTTTGATCATCCAGAGGCTGATTCCAACCTGTTACCTTTGGTTGACTTTCTAGGACACCTTCCCAGAGGGGCTGTAAATGCAGACCCAGAACCGGTTTTTCCAGAAGGAGTCTACAGATCTACAGATATTCTCTCTCTATCTCTCTCCCTGTCTCTCCCTATCTCTGTCTGTCTGTCTCTGTCTCTGTCTCTCTCTCCAGTGCTGAGGATCCAGTCCATTACCCTTGCTAGGCCAGCACTCTGCTACTGAGCTACAAGCCCCAGACTGCATACACAGTTCTTAACTTGGATGTTGCACAAAACACGGGACCCGCTGGCGGGTTTCCAGTACTGCTCACCGAAGCAATTACAGAGTCAAAGTAAAGCCATGCATTGGATCTGCCTGAGTTTTGCAGACAATCTAGAGAGAGTGAGTGTGTGTGTGTGTGTGTGTGTTTCAGATGAGTAAATATAGATTTTAAAATCTTTACACTCGGGGCTGGGTGTAGCTCAGTGTGGCAGAACATGTGCTTTGCATGCGTGAGGTCCTGGATTCAATTCTCAGCATGCATGCACGTGCACACATGTGCACACACACAAAATCCATACATTAGTGTAGGGCTGAACATTTTTCAAAGCACACACTCATGAAAACAGTTCCACAGAACAATCCTAAAATCTACTGTGATTTCAAAATCAGGGCTATAAGGAAGCCTGGGAAAATCTCAGATAAAGCCAGTGAGTACTTATGTGGGACATTTATCCAAAAAGAATTTTGTTTTTCTTTTGAGACAGGGTCTCGATAGATAGTCTAGGCTGGCCTAGAACTCACAGAAAACCTCCTGCCTCAGCCTCCCTTGCTGGGACTACACACATGTGCCACCATGACCAACCTTTGTCCGAAATTTTAACAGGTCAAGATGACTACCACCAGGCATTCAAATTGTGTTCTTTTTGGGGCTGGGAGCTCTAAGATCTGGTTCTAGCAGGCATGACATCGGAAATATGTGAAACAGGATTCTTTGTTTTCCAGTTTCAAGGTTTTTCTATTTGAATTTAACATGTTCCTGCCGTGGGCATTATTTTGGGATTTGGGCCAATGAAATGCCCTCTAAGCATTTTCCTCAGATGAACAGCAAATGTGGGAGACCCCTTCTCTCTGTCCAGCCTGGGATGGGCCTAGAGGAAAGGTCTAGAAGGGACCTCTGAGGGGGCTCCTCGTGTCTTCCTCTCTCTATCTCTCCCACTCCCTTCTTCCATCCCCTTTCACAGGCCTCCTGCCACTAGTGAGTATCAGGTTCAGGGTCACAAAAGAATGTAACAGAGAAGCTTTTAGTGGGAGATGCTTCTGCTTGAAAGTTAATCACCTGTTCTAAACCCTGCGATGAGGCGGCTCTAGAGAAAGCAGAACACAGGGATCCGAGCGATGGCCTTGCTACTGGGGCGTCTGAAATGGCCGGGATGCAGAGGACCTGCAGGGAGTAGGGAAGCAACCACTTGGGTAGCACTAAAGGTGCTTCCTCCCTGTGGTCTGCACTGACAGGCCCTGCCACTGTAGATCAGGAATGCAAACCTCAGGTCCAGGGTACAAACATAGCACCTAGCTCATCTGGCATGGCTCACTTGTGCACCAGCTCACATTTCCCACAGCAACCAGGTTCCTCAAGGACTCACAGTGGTTGCTCCTTCTCTGACATCTCCCTTCTCACCCCCAGTGGCCACCATGAACTGCACGCCTTGGGAAACTTGTGGGAAACCTAAGCCAAGAAGAGTAGGCCCAGGCTGAGCTGTGGGCCTGGTCTGGGAAAAGCATTCACCCTCCTGTGTTCTCCCACTGCATATGCGAGACAGAAAAGGATACCGAATAATACCTGATGCCACTGGACCAGGAGCAGGGTACTGATACCAGTATCAAAATCTGGACAACACAACGTGTTTTGCTCCCAAAAGAGAAATCTTTAGTTTACTTGTTAAAAAGAAAACCGTGGGCAAGGAAGTCCATGATGTCTTTTATTCTTACCTCTCATGCTAGTATAGACCTTGAACTTTAAGATGTGAATTAATTTTATTATTATCTGAAGTTTAGAAAGAGGATTGTCTTATAAAGTTTCAACGCTGACGGATTTGCAAGGTTTGCATGCAGAATTATAAATAGGATGAATTCTAGAGTATTTGCACAAAACACTGAATGCAGGCTCTAGGACAGCTCTCAGGCCACAGGACACTCTGGCCTCTCCACTTACCTTGTACCTCGATGTCAATGGGATCAGACACGATCTCGATATTGTTCACTTTCATCTTACAGATGTACGATCCATTGTCTGAGCGCTGCACGCTGGTTATGCTTCAAAGAAAAACACAGAAAGACATTTACAGTGACTGCTCTTTGAGTCCCAAACATAGGAAGAGAAAATTTTCCCAACTTCATTGTCATGTACCATGATGTTTTGTTTTGTTTTGTTTTGTCTTTTTGAGACAGGGTCTTGCTATGCAGTTCAGGCTGGCCTTGAGCTCACTTTGTAGCCCAGACTGGCCTCGAACTCGCAGCGATCCTCCTGCCTCAGCCTATTATGGTTAATATTATATGTCAACTAGTCCAAGCCATGGTAGACAGTTGTTTGGTCAAATACCACTCCAGATGTTGCTGCCAAGGTATTTTTCAGATATCACTGACATGTATACCAGCAGCCTTTGAGTAAAGAAGATTATCACTCACAATATGAATGTGGGTTTTATCTATTCAGTGGAAGGCCTCACAAGAAAAGATTGACATCTGAGGAAGTAGAAATGCTACCTCTGAATAGCCTCAGGGCTAGACACTACATCAGGTCTTCCCTGTGCCTCTACCACACACCTTGCTGACTTCAGACCTACCAGTGCCCACGACAGCATGAGCAAATTCCTTAAAATAATTGGGTGTCAAGCACTGCTCGCTCTCTCTCTCTCTTTCTCTCTCTCCCTCTCTCTTTCTCTCTCACCCACACACACCCTGCTGGTTCCATTTATCTGATGAGCCCTGACTAACACATGTGCTGTCCATCACCGGTCTTGATTCCTTGGATAAACTCTACATGAGGAATTTGCTACCACTCCCTCAAGGCATTTTGGAAATCTATGTAGCCATTGGCGGTAGTCACAATGACTAAAGTCTCAGAGTCCAGGGACAATTGTTCCATGTCCTAAATAACCTGCTGAGAGTAGAACCTAAATCCATTTTGCATACACACCAAATATCAGGCACGCTTTAACATTCACCTAACTTCCCAGGACTGCAACTACCGTGAGCCTGGAGGGCTGCTAGCCCCTTGTCCTGCATGGAGGTTTTGGATGCCTCTGCCATCATCGTGCGAGGTCAATCTCTGACAGCACCCCTGCATTTGTTACTGTCATGGGTCACCAAGTACAAGTCCATGGCTATTTCTTCATCTGTCTTGTGACTTCAGCCCATGATGAAGTCTCGTTGGTGTATTATGGATTCCCTTTGACTATTTTACCTTGGGAATATTATCTGTTAAGAAACATAGGATTGGGTATAAAAGGCACCCTACTTTCCATCTTTGCAACATGCATATAAGCAGCATGTCACATAACACACGTAAAAGCTGCACTGGGGCAAGCGGGAAAGGGAACAGGGAATGAGGAAGGCTTTGAAATACTCTCAGATCTTCAAGGGAGGATGATGCCCTTATGGACTCAAAGGCTCCACTCGTAAGACAAAGCAAAGAGAACCATGACCCAGTGGAAAAAGAAAAAAACAGTGTGGAGAGCTCCACTTTCCTTCCTAGGACCTTGCTTCCCTCACATGCCTCAGTACCAGCCTTTTCTGCAGACAAGGCCCAGGGTTCAACGGTGGAGAGCAGGTGATCCGATAGCTGCGCCTTTGACAGATGGCTTTGGCTAACGGCCTGGGACCTGCCTAGGAGCAGAAGGTTTGCAGCATGACCCAGGGAGACAGGACCCAAAGAGAAGGTGAAGGCCAGAGAGGGACACAGGGTGCAGCTCCAGGAAGGGGTGTCCAGCAGAGCTCTAGAACACCTGAGAAACAACCAGGCACAAGTAACAGTTGTTGCATGCTTGCACTGTGGAAATCGGATTGCACACAATGAGTTATCTTAAGGAGTAGCTTAAACCAGCCAACAAGGAAAATCCAGCCCACGATAGGAAAGGAGCAAGCAGAACACAAAGAGAACACAGTGCAAACATCGCCATTCGTCACACACGCTGAGGAGAGTTTAGCAATCTGTGGGAGGCTGGGTACTGGTGTTAATTAGCAGGCAGACCCACATTTCTCTCGTTACTATCAAGATAATTCTGCTTTTGCTTCCTAGACCTCCACATCAAGGTTCCCACTCTCAGCAAAGGCTGGATGTGGGGTGGGACTGGAGACAGAGGAGTGGCTGTCCCCATCATCTCCCGGCCCACTGCGTCAGGAGGCTAAGTCTCCACAGAGGGTCAACCGGAAAGGCCCTGAGCTCAAAATAGTAAACTTAGGTGACTAAGAAGTTCCAGAAAATGCACAGAAAGGGGAGGAAAGGATAACTCAAGAAATTACCCCAGAACCACAGAAGTGGGTCTTTCTCTAGCCAGGCCTTGGGTGGGCTGAAGAATCGGGTGGAGGGAACCCACCATGCGGCTTTATCACGGAAGTTACAACTCTAAGGTAAAGCAAACATCACACACAAGCTTCTGGAGAGAAATGCAGATTATTGATGACTGAGTCGGGCCCACAGCCTACTTCTGAAGAGCAACTCTGGGCACTCCAAAGAAATACATCAATGACTTCACAATTCCAGTGGAAATTATTTTCCCTTGTGAATCTGTATCCAGGCAAACCTTCTCAAGGTCAGGGTGGCGGAGAGAAACTTTTCAGATACGAACGTCCCAGGAAGTTAGTAAAGATAGGGCTCTGTGCCAGAGTAAGGGAGGAAGAGCCAAGAGAAGGGGGATCAGGGTTCCAAGGAAGAGGGGAACTGGGCTCTGAGAAATGGAGCTGGAACGCAGGAGGGGCAGGGCCCCCCAAAATGACAGCAAAATGACACCAAAAGACAAGTGGACCCAGAACTACACAGCAACACGTTCAGACTGAGGCGGGAGGAGCGAGGGGGCCAGGGTAGTTATCTCCCAGGGGAAAAAAAAATGAGTCACTGTGAAAGCTGGAGGTGCATACAGTAACACCGTGTTTCCCTTCCAAGCTTAGGAAAGAATGAGTGAGCGATTCTTAGAAAACTAAGCAAACCCAACAGTGAGGAAACTCTTTGGGAAATGAAAAAGCTACTCAAGAAGTAAAATATAATTTAGTATAATGCATGATTCAGCTGAAAACAGGATTTCCATAGCCACACACACAAAAAGTGGACCCTGGTTTAACCACAGCTATGAGTAGCACTTCTTTAGATTCACACACCCTACGGGGACTGGTACACAGGGCACATCTGCAAGATTGCATGGGGACTGAGTACCTCTGGGATGACACTGAAGAGCCGGGTCACCTCAGCTCCCCATCCAGAGAGGCTGGGGCTGGAGTGGGGAGAGAGCATTTAAACAGTCAGAGTGTTTTACCTTGTGCATGCCATGCTTTAAAACATGGTAGGGGGCTGGGGATACAGACCAGGGGTAGAGCATTTGCCCAGCATGTGGGATGCTCTGCGTTCCATCCCCAGCACTGCACCAATAAAAAGCACAAAAACCTCTCCAGATTCTGGCAGCACACAGACATCTGGACCAAGGAGGTTGAACGAAATGATACAGACTCAGCCACCGCGTCTAGACAGGAACCACCTGGCCGTGGCTTGCAGCGCTGGCAGCTTCAGAAGCCGATCACCCCAGGGCAACTGCAGCTGGGTCAGCCCCAGGACATTCTGCAGACCTACAGCGCCACCTCCTCGGTCCCTCACTCCTGCCCAGTGGGGCTAGCCTGTTCAGAAATGGTGCAAGGGACAGACACTGTGTAATTCTACATTTATGAAGAACTTAAAGTAGTCAAACTCACAGAGATAGGAAGTAGAACGTCACCAGTGACCAGGCGCTGGTATGTGCGTGGGGTGTCGTGACGTTTCATGCTTCATGGGTCAGAGTTTTAGTTTAGGAAGACGACAAGCTGTGGAGGTGGGTGGTGGCACTGGTTATGTTTCACTGTGCATGTGCCTAATGCCACTGAGCTGTATACTGTAAAAGGGTCAAAACGGTGTATTCTATGTTACAAATAGTGACTACAATTTAAAAAAATTCCACCATGAAAAGAAGTGTTAAGAAGAAAACACAAAGACCCAACAATGAGTTTCCTAGTTTCACCTGGTGTGCTGCAAATGGTGCTGCTGGGGTAAAACGGATACTTTGAGGGCATGGGGCTTCCAGACGAGAAAGAAGCCTTGTGAGTGTGAGGCAAGTTCGTAATCAACTCTGCAGTTAATAATAACTTTGCTCACTGGCGGTTTGGCTAAAGGAATTACGGTCTTAGCCAGGCATGGCAGCACATGCCCTGTAATCCCAGCGCTCTGGGAGGTTCAGGGGGAAAGATCACAAGTCTGAGCACAGTGTGGTAACTCAGGGATTTAGCGAGACCCTGTCTCAGAACGCAAAAAGGGCTGAGAATGTAGCTCCGTGTGAACCCCAGATTCAATCTCCAGTACTGGCCAGGCTTGGGGAGGGGGGCGGTTCTTATTTTCCAGATATCTGCTAGTTGTTCACCTATGATTCCACTTTCACGGCCTCCTAAAGCAGCAAGATAAAGAGCTGACAAGAAGCATCTGTCAGGGCCAAGCAAGGCAAAGTGCAGGTAAGGACTGAGCATGGAGAGAGGTGGGGGCTGCAAACGCAGCACCTCACAGAGCCAGGAGCCTGCTCGGAGACCGGAGGCCTGGAAGAGCACAGGCCCTGCGGGGACGCAAACTACCCACTCACCACCTTCACAGAAAGAATTTCCTGAGGAAGTCAAAATCCTTCCAGCTTCGGCCCCTGGGAACTATGCTGGAATTTTAAGGAGCTCTGGGAGTCCTTAGACTAAACAGAACACAAACAACAAATATTTTCCCTTCACCACAAATCTCCCAATAATTACATCTGCCACCTTCCAGGAGTCTCAGTTTTTGCTTGTACTTGAGAGTCGTTCTCCTTAGTCCTGGGGTCTGATGGCTACTGACTCTCTGGAATGTGTCACCTGACAAAGAGACATTTCCATCTAAGCCGGAGGGCTTTGGACACGCTACATCAGATATTAGAGCTAGCGATAGCCATAATTTCTCCCTCCCTAGGGGACTCCAGGGCAAGGGCTCAGCCCTTGGGTCCTGGAGCCTGGACAAACGGACGCACTATGGTTACGAGTTAATACTGGATGCAGAGGAGGCGGTTACGGGTTACAGCCCCAGGACGAGGCCAGGCCCAGTGACTCCAGTCCTGCAAAGGATGCCGGTAAATGCTCTCGGAGGGCTGCAGCCTGAGTCCACACAACCGAGAGCAGGCCAGGAGGGAAGACCACCGCGTGGGCTTTCAGTATTTATCTTGCACAATCCCAACCTACTAGCAGATGCTGAGCATTTTCTACACCTATCAACACAAGATGACTCTTGGCTCTATCAACAACATCAGACACACGGTCAAACAGGAAACAAAACCGAAGTGTGAATTACTAGCCTAGAACAGACCCAGCACAAGAGGGTACTGGGATGAGAAATACTGTAGCATGTATTTTTTTCCTGCCCTCAACCACGGCATTCTGAAGATACTTTTTAGCCATGCATGGTGGCAACTCCAACACAACTGCAGGCTAATGAACCCTTAATAACATGAACAAACATGGAGAGCCTGAAACTATTTTTTTTATGTCTTCCTGGGGACAGAGAGGATTTTCTTGAGGGTCCATGAGATATGAAAAGTGATGATGCAACAGGTGTGCAAATCAAGCTTCCTGTTAAAGTGTGACCAGCTCACTATCTCCTGACTGTGGGAAAATCACTGTTTATGAGGACTTCAGTATCCTTATCTTTAAAGTATCAAGTTTAGGGTCTTTAACATTTTTCTTTCTTTCCAAGAAATTACACAAATATTTCTAATTTTGCTCAAGTCACTATAACTTATTTCATTGGATCACACCACAGCTACTGTGCCACCTGAACACGACCTTATGAAGGCGCATTTGGTATTGTCCTAAACGCCGCCTAATTCAGCTGAAGATCCATCACTTCTCAGATTTTGGACCCCTAAGGTTCTGTTATAAAGCTTGGCTGGAGGGTCAAATAACATTTTTTTCTCCTTTAGAATGAATTACTACGTATAATAAGCTGAATACAGGCAGAAAGAAGACCAAGGAGATATGGCTGCCAAAGCGCGGTCAGAGGCAGGCCATGCCCACAGAGATGGCAGTGCTGTGCTCCCCTAAGTGACACCTGGTGAGAACAATGTGACACTTTCTGTTTCACTGAGCCTTAATAGGACTCCTCACTCATTCATTATTGAACGATGGTTTTATTTTTCTCTTCAGAGGTTGTGTCTATGTAATGGTAAAACACCTGCTTTCTGTAGCTGATACAGAAAAGAACACAGTCAAATCTCCAGACTGTCACACCAACCAAGAGAAGCCACAGAAGTTAGTATTCCTTTCTCACTGACGAAGCCTACAACCTGGAGAAAATGTGCAAAAAGACAAAAGCTTAGTACTAACAGACTAAAGTCTGCCTGGAGTCATTATGTCTGCTGGTGACTGGGAGGTGGTTTTCTGAAAAGGAAACCTAACATGATTCACCACAGGACCTGACAGAGTATGGGACCATGCCAAGTGTCAGGTCAGAGAAAGTGAAAATGTGACAGATCAAGGAAGGCTCCGCCCCGGGGTAGAGGAATCACAGAGACAATGTGATTCAACACTCAGTGACTATAATCTTACTTTGAACTTCTAATGACTACAGGCTAAGCCAGTTCTGTAACTGTACGTGCAAAGAAGATGTCAAGTAAAACATACACACATGCACACAAACACATGCACACACACACATACACACACACACAAACTTAGGTTTTAAAAAGTTGATCTCAATGTAGAACAACGATTACTGGGCAGAGCTGGAGTGGACAACATACAGGTGCCAACACCATGCTCAGTAGAAGGAGTAAGATCTGGTTTTCTGCAGCAATATTACTATGTCATGATGTAATAGCAACCCACTATATACTTTATGCAGATCTAGAAAAGAGGAGCTTGAAGACTCCAAACATAAATGATCAGGAAAGGAAAATGCTAACTACCCCGATTCAACCAGTACACACTGTATGCATGTGTTGAAATATCACACTGTACACTATTAATATGCATGTTAATAAGATTAGGTAAATAAATGAGCCAAAAGATAAAAAAGAAGAAGAAAAAAGCCACCCAAACCCTTTCAGCTGAAGAGGGAAGAGGTGAGAATACCAAATAGGTGGTGTGAATGAGGCCCACGGCGTCTAAAACAGGCTGGATCGGTCTTGGGGAGAACAGAGGACCCCGGGTACACACTGGGCTTGGCTGAGCCCGATCACCGTGACCCCCACTCATCATACCTCTTAAAAACCCTTTCTGTTGGGCTGGGGTGTGGTTCAGTGATAGAGCATGTACTTAGCATGTTCAAGGCCCTGGGTTCAATCCCTAGCACCACAAAAAGCAAAATAAAGCAAGGTTCCACTTGCTGGTAGAACTCCCGCATCCAGCTGTTTCTTGACAGTGACTTGCAGGTCAGAAGGGAAGAAGCCATCCGGGGCCCCCAGACTCTCTGTGAACCAACAGTTACGTGGGCTCAAGCTCAGTTTAAAAGAAATCAACAATACAGACTGTCAGCTACTGGATCCATCTGCTCGCTAAGGGATCAAGCTGATTTAAACAGAAAAGGGAGGCTAGTTTTTTTGTTTAGGAGGCTTTTGCTTTTCAGGTAACATTAGCATAATGACAATGAAAAAGGCAGGGAGGAAGGACACTTACCTGAAGGATGCGATTATTGACGTCACTTCATTATCAGGATAATACTGTGTGATTGTATTATGAGCTCTACGCAATTCTTTCCCATCTTTCCACCAGGAAACGCTTTCGGTTTCTTGGTACATATTAGGTATGTTGATGGAGCAATTAAATTTGACATCTTTGTGTTCAGAAAGTATTATGTGCCCCACTGTGTGATTAAATGCAACAGGTGGTTGGAGCTTTGCTGCACCAGAGGTGGCCTGGGGGACAGGCGGGTCTCCGGGATGTGGTCTTCCGGGCTGGGTTGGTGACAGCATCAAGGCAGGCTGGTGTCCACTGGTGTGAGAGGAGGAAAATGGCCTGTGTTCAGCTTGCAGGCTCCTTGGGAATGGCTGGTAGGGCTCGCTTTCTTCCCCCATTTCTGCAACAGCTGCAAAACAGAACACCCAAGTTTTAGCCTTTAAAACCACGGTGAAAAGTTTCACAAGTAGGTCCTCAACTGCTTAGGCCACGACAGAGGGGAAGCTGAGATCCTCAGTACCCCTAGAGAAGATGAACAGAATCCGTTTAGCACACACCTCCGACAAACACACTCGCACGTTTGTTCACCTGTTCACTTGCCTCCCGCTAAATGCTGAAGGATTAAAGTTCCTACCATCGGGGACCAGGGATATAGCTCAGTGGCATAAGTGCTTGCCTGACAAGCCTGAGGTTATGAGTTTGATTCCCAGTACCAAAACAAACAAACGAACAAAAATCCCTGCCACTGAGAAATAAATATACCAATAAAATTTAAAACTTGTAAATGGTGCCTCATCTCACGTCCTGCACACCCAGTTCAATAGAAAGGGGACAGCACAGGAAAAACCTAAGATCACTTTCCTTACATCTGCTCGGTCACAGACTCTGCCACACATTTGGCCAGTAGTCTTGAAAAGGCTGCCTTGCTAGACTCAGGGAGATAATTTACAATTTTTGTGTCCACAAAAAAATATGTTCCAGACTTGGAGCTTCCAGCAAATGCCTGCCTGCTGGAATGAACCAGAAAAATGTTTTTATTTCAGCTGGCCCACAAGTATTTCTAAAAATATACGCTCATATTAGTTGTACTTTCAGCCGTGCGTGTGTGCGTGTATGTGTGTATGAGTGTGTATGAGTGTGTGTGTGAGTGTGTGTGAGTGTGTGGCTGGTCCCTGCTTTGGATTATGCTAGAAGTGGTGACTAACAGCCCAGGACACTTAGCTGACTGATACCTAAAAAAGAATTTTTAGCATAAGTGTTCAGCCAAGCACCTAAATGGCTAATGACAGATAAAAGCAAGGGAATCAAGGGCAGAATGGAGAGACCTGGGAATTTTTCCTCCAACTTCCTGTGAGCTTTGGCACCCCGGCCTATACAAACCCCTTAAAAGTGGCCAGGGCTCCCCCAGGGCCTCTCAGTCAGCTTTTACCCTCCGCACCGCTGCTCCCTCCAGGCCCTCTCAGGGCTGTGCCTTTGGCAAGGAGGGAGGGCGAAGGTCGGATGGAGCACAGGCGCCTTCACTGTGAGAACCTGAGGCCTCAGGTCGTGGGGAGTGAGGGTTGCTGTGTGCTTTCATGCGTCAGCCAGGGGCTGGAAACATGTATTTATCCTGGGCATGTTAATCAGGAGTCTCAGGAAATGACCCCCGCAAAATGCGTGGCTTTGCACTCCCAATGCAGCACCTGGGGAGTGCAGCAAATGGCCAGAAGGACTTTCCCTGAAGTCCCCATACGCACCTAAGCACCAGACCCACCAAAGAGGGACAGGCTGCTTTCAACCCTCCCGCTCAAAAAAAAAATAAATAAAGTAAAATAAAATTTTAAAAAGTAAGCTCACATCACAGAAGAAGCGTTTGAAAAATCAAAACCACATCGGGGAAGCTTCGCTCCAGGCCATGTCTGTCTCCCGGGCTTGTACTCCCCCGTAAGGCGTAAGGCGCAAGGCGCACCCACTGCCTCTGTCCCCTGGTTTACAGCCCCACCTCCCTTTCCCCCAGGAACTGTGTATTTAAACCTCAACCCTATGGCTTTTCTTTGAGTTTCACATTTTTATGACACCTATGTTCTGGCACACTGTAAATCTGAATGCTGAATGGGCACTTGGTGTCGGCTGACTCCGGGACTGGACCTTCAGAGGAAAGTCAGAGCTTCCCTAGAACCGGCAAGAACATCTTTCCCTTCGTCCCAACCACCAAGCTCCACAAAACTCAGGGGTCAGGGCTTTTGTCCAAACAATCATTTTTTTCCCTTTCTCAGAAGGCAGAAAGTGGAAGTGGGGGAAACAACTACTATTTCCCTTGGTTTGCTTAATTTACTATTAATTTAACATTACAGCTTTCTACTTCTACAGTTAGCAAAAGTTTGTTATAAAAAATTTAAACACATATTTTTTATTATTCTCTCATTTTATTGTGAGTTATTAGAAACATAGCATTGCCCAACACTTGAGAACTGTGATTTGCACGGGTTGATATTGCAGGCTGGGGCCCTTGGCATTGGTGGATTCACACGGCAAAAATTCAGGGGGTCTCATCATTCATACTGTCACCTGTGCAAATGGTGCTCCAGAGTGTGCAATGCATAACCTCACTATGGAAGACTGAAACCATTCCGAGGTTTTGGAACCCAAGATCAGGGCAATGATGAATTTGAAAATACATCTTAAGTTGCTAATTTTTAACAGCTACTTGGGCTCTGTCACGCACCTTACCGTCTTCAGCCCCCACAGACCTGGAATACTTTCAAAAGTATTTTGGTGGCAGGATGGTGAAGAATGAGATCAGACAAATAGATTTGGTTGTGTAGCAAAGCTTTTTCAGTCATCATTAACAAGTCCCTATTAACTCAAAATAATAAAAGTAAATGTTGTGGGGCTGTTTGATCATGGTCATTTTGAAGACAACTGTTAAAGAACGTTGAGTCAGTTGAGAGATGTATTAAAACCCGCACCACAGACTGCATGTAAACTTGGTTCTTTCCATACAGCACATGTGGAAATGTGGGCTGCCTCTGGTTGTAATTTGGGTGGAATGTATAAGAAACTGTCCCTAGCAAGTATTATCCTCATACCAAAACCAGAGTAGGATCCAACCAAAAAAGAGAACTAAGGCCAGTCTCTCTAATGAACATAAACAGAAAAAGATACTAGCAAACAAGATGTAGCATATCATCACGACCAAGTAGGATTCATCCCAGGGATGCAAGGATAGTTCAATACATGCAAATCAATAAATGTAACACACCATATTAACAGAACCAAGGACAAAAGCCATATGATCATCTCAACAGATGCGGAAAAAGCATCTGACAAAGTCTAACACTCATTCATGATAAAAAAGAAAACTACAGAAAATTGGAATAGGTGATCTTTATTTCAATCTGATCAAAGTAATCTATGACAAACCAACAGCTAACATCATATTAACAGACAAAACAAAGCTTTTACTCTAAAATCAGGATTAAGACAAAGATGTCCACTATCACCATATAGTGGTGGAATATAGTTCTGGAAACATTAGCCAGAGCAATTAGACAAGAGAAAGAAATAAAGAATACAGATAGGAAATGAAGAAGTTAAATTATTATGTGCCGATGACATGATAATCTACATGGAAGATCCCAAAAATTCCACCAAAAGACTTTTAGACTTAATAACTAAATTCAGTATCATAGCTAGATACAAAGTCAACACTCAAAAATCAATAGCATTGCTGGGCGTGGTGGCACATGCCTATAATCCCAGCACTTTGGAGGCTGAATCAGGAGGACGGCCCCAAGTTCAAGGCCAGGTTGGGCTACATAGTGAGGCCCTGCCTCAAAGAAACAAAAAGAAAAGAAAAGAAAAAAAAAACAAAAACAAAACAAACCAATATTTCTATACACAAATAACAAAATCACTGAGAGAGAGATTAGGTAAACCACACCTTTCATGATAGTATCTAAAAAAATGAAATACTTAGGAATCAACCTAATGAAGAATGTAAAAGACCTTTACATTGAAAACTACAGTACTCTGAATAAGGAGATCAAAGAGGATATCAGAAAATAGAAAGATATACCTTGTTCTTGGGTAGGAAAAACCAACATACTGAAATGGCCATATTTCCAAAATTGCTATACAGATTTAATACAATCCCAAAAAAATTACTAATAGTATACCTCCCAGAATTAGAGAAAATAATCCTAAAACTCATCTGAAACCAGAAAAGATCTAGAATAGCAAAAGCAGCTTTGGGCAACAAAGGCAAGGCAGGGGACATCACAATCCTTGACTTTAAATCAGACTACAAAGCTACTATGATAAAAACAGCATCGTACTGGTGAAAAACAGAACTGAGGATCAGTGGAACAGATTAGAAGATGCAGAAACAACTCCAAACACACTCAGACACCTTATCTTTGGCAAATGCCTAAGATCTAATGGGTCTAATTGGAAGAGTCTAATGCCTTCCCTGGAAGAAAGATACCCTCTTTAATAAATGGTGCTGGGGAAATTGGCTTTCCACATGCTGAAGACTAAAACTAGACCCATGTCTCTCACCATGCACTAAACTAAAATCAAAATGAATCAAAGATTCATTCCCAGCAGAAACATTCAATCTGCTGGGAGACAGAACAGGTAGAACTCTTGAAGACATCAGTGTAGGCAAAGAGTTTATGAACAAAACCCCAACTGCAAAGGAAATATCACAAACAATCAATAACTGACATCTCATCCTATTAAAAAGCTTATTAAAATCCTATTAAAAAGCACAGCAAAAGAAACCCACCAACAGAGTGAAGAGACAATCTACAGTGTGGTAAAAAAATTTTGGCAGCTGTTCCTCAGATAAAGGACTAATATCTAGAACATATAAAGAACTCAGAAAAAATCAGATCCTTCAAATTTAAAGACTCAGTCCAAGAACAGGCATCTGAAGTGAATACACTCTTCTCAGATGAAGAACTAGAAATGGCAAATAAATATATGAAAAGATATTCAACATCATTAGTCATTCATGAGATGCAAATTAAAACAACACTGAGATTCTATCTCACTCCAGAAAGAATGGCTATTACCAACAAATCAACCAGTAACAAATGCTGGCAGGGTTGTGGGGAAGAAGAAACCCTTCTCCACTGCTGGTGGGAGTGTAGACTTGTGCAACCATTGTGGAAATTAGTGTGGAGAGTCCTCAAAAAACTAGGATTAGAGGTCCCATTTGACCTAGCTATTCCTCTTCTTGGTATCTTCCTGAAAAAATTAAAAGCATCATACCACAGTAATATACACATACCCATGTTTATAGCAGCACAGTGTGTAATAGCTAAATCTTGGAAATAGCCCAAATACTGATTATCTGATGAATGAGTGGATAAAGAAGATATGGTTTTTTAATACAATGGAGTACTACTCTGTCATGAAGAAGGA